GGGGGGGGGGGGGGGGGGGGAGAAATTCCTCGTCAGCCAAGGTGACTTGTAGCTTTTGTTTTGTGGGAAATTTTCCCCGGAAATTGAGATATCTGTTTAGACACTTGTTGTTTTTTTGTTTTTTAAGCGTCATCATCTCAATCTCAGTAAAGTACTGGTGATATGCTATCTAATAAATCTGACTTCATACAAAGCCTTCATTTGTTTTGTCTTTTTAGTTTTGCCTGTTCTCTTGCTCAGACTTGTAATGGTTTTTTTTCTGTCTTGTGATTTCCAACCTGTCTTGTTATAATTGTGTCTTTTTATTTTCCAACCTGTCTTGTTATAATTGTGTCTTTTTATTTTCCAACCTGTCTTGTTATAATTGTGTCTTTTTATTTTCCAACCTGTCTTGTTATAATTGTGTCTTTTTATTTTCCAACCTGTCTTGCTCTTTCCCAGCTGGCATAAGCCCCCAGGGCGGTGCCACTGACTGAAGTGTCTTTGTCCTCCCAGGGCGGTGCCACTGACTGAAGTGTCTTTGTCCTCCCAGGGCGGTGCCACTGACGACTGAAGTGTCTTTGTCCTCCCAGGGCGGTGCCACTGACGACTGAAGTGTCTTTGTCCTCCCAGGGCGGTGCCACTGACTGAAGTGTCTTGAGGCCATTCCCAAAGGGGGGGGGGGCATTATTATCTCGAGTTCTTATGCACAGTAGAATTGTAAGTGGGCTGACAATGTCGTCATGCTCATAAACTGTCTCAGCCAAAGAAAGACAAACACCAAACAGCCGCCCACTGGCAGAGCATTGCGCTGTACGGCCCTGGTGAACACTCCACGGACCATGATATATATCATGATATACTGTATATATGTTCAACAACGACCACGGACCATGATATATATCATGATATACTGTATCAACAACGACCACGGACCATGATATATATCATGATATACTGTATATATGTTCAACAACGACCACGGACCATGATATATATCATGATATACTGTATCAACAACGACCACGGACCATGATATATATCATGATATACTGTATATATGTTCAACAACGACCA